GTCCAGATACTACATTTCCCTCTGGAACAAGTGACATTTTTTCGGGCTAAGCTTCAGGCTGGAACTTCTTAAACCCTGAAAAACCATTTCTATAAAAGTTGCATGTTCATTACATAGTCCAGCATGACGGTAAACTACCTTCTGGTGCCATGACCCCCAATGCTCTTTAAATCTTCTGATTTACAGTCCAAGAAATCCTTCAATATCATTTCGCTAAGTTCTGGTATCAACTTTTAACAAGGAATATTAAAGGTGAATGGGCAAGAAGTCGTCCCTTGCGGCCTTGAGTTCACGGTTTATTTACCGTGAATTCACCGTGAATTCACCATGAATTCACCGTGAATTCACCGTAAATAAACCGTCTGTTTGTGACATTTGTAAACGGTAGTTAGACGGTGAATTCACGCACTTTTCACAGACGGTTTATTCACGGTGAATTCACAGTGAATTCACCGTGAATAAACCGTGAACTCAAGGCCAATGGAACCACTACGGACTTGGCTTTTCAATGTCGTCGTTTATTAAATATGTACTGGTAGTTTATAACTTCCAGAATAACAATATAACGTTTAAGTAGGCAGGTAAATTTATAAACCCTTTAAATTTTACTGTTGAACTTGTGAATTTAGTTTTTGTAAAATAAATGCGCTTCATCAATATTTAAGTATAAACAAATTATTTATTTAATAATGTTTATAAATAAAAAAATCTTATTTTTTATTTAATTATTAATACCGTCTATTAGCAACAAAATTACTATTTATTAAAAAGTAAACAACCATTTACAAACAATTAAAATAATTTATTATTTACATTACCACGTGGTACTTGCAACCTTGAGATTACCGTGAATTTGCGGTGTTTTCACAGTCAATTTACGGTGTTTTAACAGTAAACTCACAGCGCTTTTACGGTGAATTCACGGTGATTTCACGATAAATTTACGGTACTTTGACAGTGAATTTGCGGTGATTTTGCAAATTTGAGTTCACCGTGAATTTACCGTAAATTAACCGTGAAATCACCGCGAACTTATCGAAAAAACAGCGTGAGTTCACCGTTTAATTACCGTCTACAAATGTCACAAATGGACGGTATATTCACTGCACATAAACGGTGTATTCACGGTGAATTCACGCAAACGGTGAATTCACCGTAAACTTAAGGCCGCAAGGGGTGTTATATCGATCGAAAGAGAAGACGATTTGAGTAATGCTAACAGAATATTATTCTGTTTGCATTACACAAATCGTTTTCTCTTTCGATCGATATAACACGACTTCTTACCCATTCACCCTTAATATTCCTTATTGAAAGTTTAATTCAAATCCTACAGTTCATAATAGCCATGCCTATAATAGATTCGTCTTCAATAGCTGCTACTAATGCTCGATGTTAAAATTTCGTGTTTACCATGACCATCGTGATATCTACTTCTTTGTAGCGGTACCCTATTGAAAATGCCATATAGAACCCATATTGAATCCGATAAGGAAACTTAATTAAGTTTCCTTATCGGTTCTATATGGTTTTATAGGTCCTATATGGAATGTGCTGGTTTACATTACGGAATCTATCTGGTTCTATAATAGTGTTTCTATCAGGTTCTATAATGTAATATTATGTCAGGTTCTATAGTGAAATGCCTGTTTTTCTCCACCCTATATAGTTTTCCGACTGGTACAAAGTCGGCGCCACCTGGCTTTCTCTGCAACGACTTTGTATATGTCCTAGCTTTCCACATATGTGAGATATCTCACAAACCGGATTTCCTTCTTCTCTGGTAGATTTTCTTTAAGAACTTAATTATACTGTGTTTCTCCTCTTTCTCTTCCTCGCCTCTCCTAATTCTAGGCTGGCTTCTGCAGCTCTGCTTTGCCGCCTCGAATTCCAAAGCTCGAGCCAATGTATCAACCAGTTGGCTCGGACGAGCCAATGTCAGAGCCTGTCTTGTTTCGTTGTCTCAAAGTCCATCCAAAAAGGCTTGAACAGCTATTCGTTCCATAACGGTCGTTGGCGTAGTTGGATATGTTAGCCATACCAAGCGTGCAATATTATAGCTATAGCTATAGCCTCGAATTCCTGCAGTCTCATTCGATTTCTGGCAGCGATTCTTCAGTAGGGAATGGTACACTTGTTCCGGATGTGTCTCGCCATATCGCAGTTCTAGATGTTTTACCAAAGCTTCTTAATCTTCTTGTTTGTTGGGAGAAAGTGTCCGCAAGCTGTCCGTTGCATATCCGCGTAAAGCAAGAGTCAATGCTGTAGCCTTTTCTTCTGGTAGGTACCCAGCCATTTGCTTTTGCCTCCAACCGACGAATGTAATTGGTCCAAGTTTTTTATCGAACTGAGGTGGATTTATCCGGACTCGGCTCTCCTTTCGGCACTGTTCCTTGTTCCGCCAGCATCATGGGTAAATTAACAGCTGTCTGTCTATTTATTTAATTTATTTTGACTTCCAATTTCTTTTCTCAATTCCATCCTTTTCTGTCCCACTTTTTCTTTTAATTCATTGACATTTTCTAGAATCTTTCCTTTTAAATATTCTTTTAAAATTTCTGGCATTATCTGTCGCAAATCGATCGTCCTTTAAATCGTTGACATTTTCCAGAATCTTCTGTCTTTGCGTTCTTTTCGCCTGAGATGTTGGATGCTCTGTTTTTTTTGTATAGGTAACTTATAGCATAAAACGCTTTATATCCAGGTTCGGATTTACATTTTTAGGGGCCCTTAGCAAAAGTCAGAGGAGGGGCCCTTAATTTAAGAATAATTTAACCTTTAACTCATATGTTGAAGAGTCTCTAATTTAATTTACCCTGTGCCAGTACCTACCTATTTAATTTTTTTTGCTTATTAATTTCTATTAAACCGTATTTGCTATTTAAATTTATTTTGTAAAATAATGTTAATTTTCTTTAAAAAAGCGTTTTATTCTTTATCTTAAAAAATTTTAAATGCATAAAACTAAATTTGCCAGCTTATGTAAATTAAAGCGGTTTCATATAGATGCGAACATATACCTATAAGTTAGGTATATGGATGCGAAATGCGAAATACGAAAAATGTTATTATTGGTCCATTTGATTTGGCGGGAAAAGCGTTTTGACGTTTCGACAGATCCTGCGAATTCGCAAGATTTGAAATCTGGGGGGCTGGAATCTTGAGATTGATTCAATATTTTGCGAAAATCGCACGAATTTGTCGTGATGCGCATGCGCATTAATTAATTCTGTCTTCGTTTCAACAATAAATAAGCGCAATTGCACGCCTTCGTCGCCAATGGTGTAATTGCCACTGGTATAATTGTTCATCCATAAAAAAACACAAAATCTCAATTAACATAAACGCCGTGACTAGAAGTACACCGGTAGTACGGGCGCCCCAACAAAATTAATGAAATCTCAGTATGAATTAACCAAACCAACCCAAACTCAACAACCCAACCGACCCCGCTCCATCCTCCCCCCGCCCCATTGAGCGACCATGTAATGTTATACAATTTACAAATATGAAAATATGCTAAATAAGGATTTTTTTCACCCGGTGTACGTTTAATGCCCGTACTCCCGGTGTACTTCTAGTCACTTTGTAACATAAAACAACAAATAGAAAATGTTAATAAGTATGGCAAATATCGCCTGGGGAGAAAATTAAGTCCCTAAAATAACTCAATAATGGCTATACTTAAGCTAAGTTCCTGGGTATAAGAGGCAATAAGGGCTGGGAATAATCCCCAAATTATGTCAAGGAATATTCCCCTAACAATCCTTGAGTCTTCTGCAGGCAGATATATGGAATATTCTTTTTATGATGCCTGGGTTAACCAAAAATTTTTGGTTCGCTTAAGCGGACATTTGATTATGCCAGGAATATTCCTGGGAATATTCTGGGACGCTTGGAATATTCCTGGGAATATTCCTGACATGTGCAGGGAATGTGATTTTGCGGTCTGGGTTTTAGGCGGTCCCAGTGGAGCCAAGGCCCCAAGCAACTGCTTAAGCTTAATTAATAATTTAGCTTATAGGTCAATCGCGCCCTGCTTTTATATATCGTTATTATAATAGTCATGACACTGCATTGTTTACAATTTAAATCTTTGCACATTTTTAAAAATTTTAAAATGTTTGCAACACAAGTCATGACTTGTGTTACCAAAAACCCGCCTTGACGACAAAATCTTTTACACTTTTTAGCAAGTTTCTAATAAAGTAGTATTTCCCAAAGAACCTAAAATATCTTCAAACTGCAAATTTTTGATAAGCAAAATTTTGGCACCCTTAAAATCCAGGATAAGAATAACAGGTATAAGAAGTGATCAATGGTTTAATTACGGTATTGATGTAGAGAGAGCTGGTAGTAGTAGAGAGTCATCCACTAGGGATTCTGCTAGCTCTGTAATGATTTTTATTTTATGTATTACATTTTTCTATAATTTTATTTTTATCCAGGAAACTGATTCAAGAAGATCTTCCAGAGAAAGCAAAGATTTATCATCCTTGAATCAAAAAATTTTAACCAAAAAACAATTAGAAACCGAAGCATTACCAAGGGATAAGAATAGAAGAAGTACCCTAGAGGAAAAGTTAATTGAAGATGCGTTTAAAGATAAACGAACTAATGACGATACATTGCAAAAAAATAGTTATACGGAAAAGACTACAGAAGAGAGAAAAAAATCTGATAATACAGATAAAGAAACCACGAATGATAAAGATAAAGATAAAGATAAAGAACGTTCTCGGAAATCTTCTATAAAAGATGATTAATGTTTCAATAAATATTTTTAATACCATCCTGTAGTTTGTAGTTGATCGTGGATTAACATAATCTAAAATATATTGTTTGCAGTGCACTCCATGGGAAGTAAAAATAAACATAATTATCTCTTTTTGTTAATAAAAAGTAGTTGGGCATCATGTAAAAAACGAAAAATCGATCTGGCAATGTGAAGAAGGCGTATTGTTGCGCATTAGGCAACTACGCATTAGTAAATGTGACGTACGGTTAGACAGCTGTCATTATTTTACGAAGTTGATTAAAAAAGTTTTCGAATATTTTTTGATTGTTATTGTATTAGTAGTTTAAAGTGCTATAATTGAAAATGTCTTACGCCTATTTATTTAAGTACATCATCATCGGTGACACAGGTTTGTACAAATTATCTAAATGTTTTTGATCATCTAATTTTGTAACAATGGTTTCATATACCTGATACATACTATGTAAACATTCTTTTTACAATCTTTGTTATCAAAGAAATCAATAGAGGAAAACAGAAAGTAAATCAATTATTTATAAATTAAATTTATTTTAAGGGGTTGGAAAATCTTGCCTTTTACTGCAATTCACAGACAAAAGATTTCAGCCAGTACATGATCTCACTATTGGTGTTGAATTTGGTGCTCGTATGATCACAATTGACAGTAAACAAATCAAGTTGCAAATATGGGACACAGCTGGACAGGAAGCTTTTAGATCTATCACTCGTTCTTACTATAGAGGTGCGGCTGGGGCTTTGTTAGTTTATGATATTACAAGAAGAGAGACTTTCAATCATTTAACCACTTGGCTTGATGATGCAAGACAGCATTCTAACTCGAATATGGTCATTATGCTTATTGGCAACAAAAGGTGTGTATTATATTTATTGTAAAAATTTTTTTTATTGTTTTGTATATTTTAGTGACTTGGAAAGTAGACGAGAGGTTAAGAAAGAAGAGGGTGAAGCATTTGCAAGGGAACATGGTCTTGTATTTATGGAAACTTCTGCCAAAACAGCAGCAAATGTCGAAGAAGCTTTTATAAACACAGCTAAAGAAATTTATGAAAAAATTCAAGAGGGAGTCTTTGATATTAACAATGAGGTGTGTATGTCAATAACTTAAATATCAAATATTGACCTTTGTATTGTTTTCTTTTTGTTTATCAACTCATAACTTGGTGGTTTCATTGTACTCTTTTATTAAAGGCAAATGGAATAAAGATTGGCCCTCAGCATTCTCCAACAAATCCTTCATTACCTGGGGCTGGTGGTTCAGGAGGTTCACAAGGTTCGGGTTGCTGTTAAATTAATTGCCTATTATCTTAAAAAAATGGGCTTTCTCAACTTGTAACTTTATTAAACCCAGTATAAAAGAATGAAAGTGGATGCACTGACTTTGTTACATAAGTTAACATCTAATATATTTTAAAGACTAAACTTTTTTTCCATTTTATATACACATCCTTTTTAAACAAAATTATACTTCACTATTTTAAATTTCAGTAGATTGCACCTAAATACAAAAAAATCTGATACATATTAGAAGATTAATTTATGTAATAAAACCTTATTGTGATTTTTTCAAAATGTATATTTATGATTAGCTACAAACAAGCAATTATTTTTATTGTTTTTATTATATGAATATATTATATTTTAGTTTTGTTTTAATTACCTTATATAAAACTGTCAGTTTTGTCCCCATGTTTAAGGTGTGTTCTTTCTAGTGTATTATGTTACCCTCAATGTTCGAATGTAGTAAAATCTACTTCACAAAAAAAAATAAAAAATCTTAAGTTGTAATTTTTTATGTAAGCTTAACATATAATCAAATATAGATTATATTATAGTAAAACCTTTTATTTTATAAACCCTACTTGAATTATCCTAAAATTAGGTGTACATCATTGTGTATTGGTAGATCTATATAGCATTTTTGTGAGATATTGTTGCCACTGTACGTTTTATTTTAATATATTAATATTTTCTTTTTATATACGCAAATATTCATCTAACCATTGTTCCAAACAATTTTTAAACACAATATCGATATTCTCAGCAGACCAATTAGAGCACAGCTGATCTGTCATGTGACGTCATCTTCCCGCGTTTTCAAGATAGCTCTCCTGTACTTACCAAGTGTTGCCGTTTGCGGGTATTTTACTCGAAAATCGGGCATTTTCGTTATGAGGGTTAAATCGGATATTTTGCAAATTTCGATCAAAATACTTTACTAAAAATGCATAATTATTTTATTCTATATAGGATATCCTGTTACATTTTTATTTAATTACATATATAAAAAAATTAAATTAATTTAATTAACTTTTTTAAAACAGGGCGAATGCTAGTTTTTTTAGTGTTTGGTAATCATCATAAACTAGCATAAAGACTAAATACAAATTTTAAAATAAAAATTTGAATATTTTAAAATTAAACAAAGTTGTTTATAAACTAATTATTTTAAAATAAAATTAAACAAAGTTCTTTATAAACTAACAAATATGAAAATTCTTCAAGAGAGAAGTACCTACCATTATTTATTATTTTTAACAAAAAATTTATACAACAAAGACTAAATACAAATTTCAAAATTATTATAATATTATAATATAATATATATAATATTATAATAATTATAATTAATTATTTGCATTTTACAAAAAAAAACAAGATTTTAAAATTGTATACGTTCATATGAACATACATATGTTTATGTCAGGATTTTATTTACATATGTCATTATTCTGTTTTCGTAAAGTCATTTTCGAAAATGTTAACCAAAGAAGAGCGTATTTATTAAAATTAATTAATTTTTTTTGGGTTTTATTAAAGTTAACTTTAAAGTAAATTTACTTGGATATGCTATAGGTATACCTATAGCTATAGGTACTTTAGCTAGGTAACTCATTTTTAATGCTGCTCAAATACCTAATTTGGCAACCCTGCTTAAAATACCCCATAGAAACCTATACAAAATAATCTATCGGAAGCTACCGGATTCAATATGTGCATTTGTCCATGGTTTTTTCCGGATATCCCTCCTTAAAATACCCCATAGAGACCTATACAAAATAATCTATCGGGCGCTACCGGATTCAATAAGTGCATTTGTCTATGTTTTTTTTCGGATACGGCCCGATAGAAAATGTATAGGAAATTACCTATAGGCACACCATAACTTTTACATTTTCCCTACTGAGACCGCGGTAGCAAATAACTCAATAAAGGATATATAGGGATATCCCTATAGAACAACCATAAAACATTTGACAAAATTAAAACCTATGGGGTCCTATGGGGGAAAAACTAATTTCTACATTTATGTGTAGGTATTTTCCCCATTGAAACCAATAGCAAATAAATCAAGGGTGGAGACCGCGATAGCAAATAACTCAATGAAGGATATATAGGGATATCCCTATAGAACAACCATAAAACATTTGACAAAATTAAAACCTATGGGGTCCTATGGGGGAAAACTAATTTCTACATTTATCTATGTGTATTTTCCCCATTGAAACCAATAGCAAATAAATCAAAGGTGGATATCCCTATAGATCCTATACATACCGATACACCCTATAGAAACACCATACATTCCGATACAAATATCTATCGGTTTGAAAAGAAAAATACCCCATTTTAAGCAGGGAACCCTCTCAATCCTTTTGAGAAAAGTTCCAAATGATGATCAATCTTTTGAGCATTATATATACACTTCGTAATGTAAATTTGGTAAGTATTTTGTGTGGGCATAAACATTTTATCGAATTATTAATTAATTTGTGATAAAAATCAGCGATTCACGCATCTAATATTCGAATTTGATTGGTGGGTTACGGACTGGCGCATTGCGTCGGCCAATGGGATCACGCAAGAGGGTAACGGATACAGTTCAAGATGGCCACCAAGACAGTGTGTATATCACAGACACAAACAAAACCGATAAAAATAATAAAATGGAAAGTTCGCGAGAATCAAACAATCCTCATCGGTGGTATTTTATTTATTTATGATTTTGAGGGGGCAGAGAAGCCCGAACAACGTAAATTAAAGTCGTCTCAGGCTGGAACAGTTCATAAGATTGTGGCACAGGAAGGCTCCATTGTTAAACCTGGGTAATTTTATTTGAACTTTGGCGGGAGTCCCAATTTGGCGCCAAAATGTTTTTATTTATTTTGTGTATGGTTTTAGTGAACTTTTATTAGAATTGAAAGCATGCAGTCATCCTACTATTATGAACGATATGTGTGGGGAATGTGGAGCAGATTTAAGAAGAGATGACATCGCTACCACTGCCTCCGTTCCAATGGTTCATACTATACCTGACCTTAAGGTTAGCGAAGAGGTAAACAAAAAATACTTTTATTATGACCCTTTTACTCTTTAGGTCTTTATTTTAGCTGGCACAAAAGATAGGGAAAGCAGATAATGAAAGATTAATAAAGGAAAGAAAATTAGTACTTCTTGTAGATTTAGATCAGACTTTAATCCATACAACAAATGACAACATTCCTCCAAATATTAAGGATGTATACCATTTTCAATTATATGGACCTAATTCTGCTTGGTATCACACAAGGTTTAGACCTGGGACTGAAAAATTCCTTGTCAATATTTTTGATTATTTTGAATTGCATATTTGCACTTTTGGGGCTAGAAATTATGCTCACATGATAGCAATGTTTTTAGATAAGAATCAGCGATTCTTTTCCAATAGAATTTTGTCTAGGGATGAATGCTTTGACCCCACCAGCAAAAAGGCTAATCTAAAGTAAGTTATTATTATTATTGGACAGGGGTGGTAATACCACGGTGGTATTAAGCTGGGACCAGACTAAACAAACATTATTGACCAACAGTTGAGCAACAGTGAAGATATGCTGCCCAAAAGTTGCATAACTGTTGACAAACTGTTGCCCAATGTTCACTTCCAGACTTGGACCCAGAGCAGTACTTTGGCCAATAGTTTGCCAACTGCATTTTCAGTGTAGATGCTCTGATTTAACAACTATTGAATGAACAACAAAGTAACTAGCAAGATGTATGTTGGGTTACAAATGGGTGCAACCTGGAAACTCAGGATTTTGGGGATGGTCTTTGGGTTAAACAACCGTTTGCTGGAAAACATTTTTTTTTAATACAACTAAATTTTAAGATCATCAGGAACTGCTAAATTAGCAATTTGACTAAAACATCAGATTTAGCTCAGTTGAAAAAGTTAACTTGTGGCTCGATAAGATTGAAGTCTTAAAAAACTACAATTAGTAATTTAAAATCTTTTTTTACTTTAGCCTCAATGAGGCAAGAATTAACGTTATCCAATTGAGCTGAAACTTTTTAATCTCATTTTCTAACTAAATAACAACTATAATAGACAAATTTTGTACATTGATTTCTTGTGATAGGTAGTAGTTATTTACCTAACTGTGTGAAAAGTACTACTTTTTCGCACGTGACTGCCGTTGAATAAACGATAGACGAGTTCCATCATTAGTTGAGTGCGGAAAAGACACTTTCCGCCCGTGTTGGGTACAATATGTTTTACAAGCAAGAGAATCTCGCAATTGTCTTCTATTTTCTTGTAGAAAAAAATATTTTTGAAGTTAACAAAATCTCCGGCTTAGACGTTATGCTTTGTTGGTAACCCTAAATTCATGTTAAACAGTTTATCAACACTTTCAGTGCCTTAATTGTTGCCAAACTGTTGGTAAAAAATATTTGCTTAGTCTGGTCCTGCCTTTTTAAATCAAGTTTTATTTTTTCAGATTGATTTTTATTTTAATTTATTTTTTCTATGAGCGTGCATAGAGTTACTACTTTCTGCACTTATATAACAGTGGGGAAAGTTGCACTTATGGCACTTAATTGCAACTAATATTATTAGTGGCAATCGCAAGTTTGAATACACTTCAATTTCAATTTTTTACCTTGAATTGCGTAAAAGTTATCTGGGGAAACTACTTGTTTTAATTCTTAAATCTTTCCAAATGTTGGTCATAATTTGAATTAAAAATACATTTTACTTGCTAGCCAAGGAATATAACTGCCATTCCAAATAAAAGCATTAAAAGTGTGTGCTGCAAGGTTTTTGATTTTGATAAAAAAAATAGAGGATGATCTTTAAGATATCAAATACAAAAAAACCACCCCAAATTTTTTTTTTTGATTGTTTACTTTCGGGAGATACACATCTGAAATTGTGTCATACCCTTTTTTGTTGGGCTACAACTTTTTTCTATAACAAAAGTTTTGATGATTATAATTTGATATTACTTACTTATTAATTTAAAAACCATGCTTTATACGTTTTAACAATAAATGACGGACCAATGAAAACTCGTTATATTTTGCTAATTTTTGTGATTTTCAGATGGCCCCTGCGCCAGCTCTCCTAATTTTGGAGAGCTGATTTTTTTAGAAATTAAGTACTTATATAATAGAATAGGTCAACGTTGTTTTAAGTTCTTTGACTTTTAATTAATTAGAGAAAAAAAATCTTAAAATTTGAAAGTTTCTAAAATTAGTTCAATTTTCCCTCCAAAAGGGAGGAGTAGAGGAAAAAATAAAAATTTGAAATTTTCTGGAAATGTAGTCCCTACCTTTATCTTTTCGACCCAATTAGTCTTGTTTTGTTATTTTCATCCCTTTAAGAGTTATATTTTTTTTATAAAAGCTTGTTTTGGAAGAAAATATTAAAACATTAGGATCAGGGTTGTGAACCGGTCCAAGAACCGCTTGTTTGTAACGGACCGGTCCGTACCCAAAATAAACAAGTTATAATTCTGGAGCGGTCCATGGACCGTCCCGTTTTTAAAATTACTTGGACCGGTACAAATTTTGGACCGAACCGTTTTCAAGTGTTTTGGAGCGGTACTGGACCGGTTTAAACACTTTGAACCGGTCCAAACATTTGTATTATTAGATTATTTCCACTCCTATTTCATATTATTGACATTATTATTATCAACCAATCGGGTTTTAAGTTGGAAAAAGTGAGATTGGAACTAACAGATGTCAGATTTTTTTTATATATTATATTGGTCATTCCACCAAATAAAGTTTTTTCTTGTTGGCCCTCGCGGATTTTTGAAGTGAAACTTTAAACGCGCGCAAAGGGATAACTGCTCTAAACCCAATTTTCATATAATAATATACATATAATAATTTCGTAATAGGTACACACTACGTGCTGGTATAAGTATATATAAATGGCGTCCACGCCAGGTCGGGTTGTCCTCCGTGACATTGTTCTTTCTTAAATAGGACACTTTAAATTCTAAAATTTGGCGAAATGGCAGATGTTTTTGTATGCGCAGTAGGTACCAGATGGTTGGGTCCATGCGCAGTAAGCACCAGGTGGTTTTATGTGTGCGCACTGTGTACCAAATGATTTGATCTATGCGCAGTGGGTACGAGATAATTATGTCTATGCGCAGTAGGTACCAGGTGGTGGTTTCCATGCCTAGTTGGTACCAGGTGGTTTATTTTTATGCGCAGTAGGTACCAGATGGTTGGATCCATGCGTAGTAAGTACCAGGTGGTTTTATGTGTGCGCACTTTGTACCAAATGATTTGATCTATGCGCAGTGGGTACGAGATTATTGTGTCTATGCGCAGAAGGTACCAGGTGGTGGTTTCCATGCGTAGTTGGTTCCATGTGATTTATTTTTATGCGCAGTAGGTACCAGATGGTTGGATCCATGCGCAGTAAGTACCAGGTGGTTTTATGTGTGCGCACTTTGTACCAAATGATTTGATCTATGCGCAGTGGGTACGAGATTATTGTGTCTATGCGCAGAAAGTACCAGGTGATAGTTTTTATACGTAGTGGGTACCAGGTGGTGGTTTCCATGCGCATTAGATACCAGTTGGTTTTATGTGGGCGCAGTGGGTACCAAATTAAAAAAACAAATATCGTCAAAATTCGAAAAATAATTACTATAGTTAATATTAACAGCTCAAATCTTCAGAATCTATAGAAATGTTTAATGATTAATTATTAAAAAAAAACTAAATACTATCAATATAATAAGTTATTCACGAGAAAGCGATTTTCCAAAAATTTTAATTATTTTCTGAAAATTTTTTGTAATTGGTAAAATAAATATAAAAATCTAACGTGGAATGATAAATCCAACATTATTTCTAGGGGGACAAATTTTAATGTACGTTTCATGAAAAAATTAAGTAAATTAAGTGAAAAAACAATAATGGTTTTTTTACAATTATTGTAAATCAACGAGAAATACGCTCAAAGTGATTCTCTCCATCTTCCGTTGTTCACAATGGCAACTGTCAAAATTACAGGTGTCAAAATAAAGGCTGTCAAAATGGCGGAAGTGCGGAAATAACAGCTATAAAATTAGTGATGATAAAATGACAGGTGCCCAAATGACAGCTGTCAAAATAAGTTGTAAAAATAACTGGTGATAAAATGACAGGGGCCCAAATAACAGCTATCAAAATGACAGGAGCCCAAATAAAAACTGTCAAAATGACAGGTGCCGAAATGAGCTGTCAAAATGACAGTTGCTGAAAAAACGTTATCCGAGCAAAGCCGCAAGTATACAGCTATTGAATAAATCACCTTTAGCTAGTGAATCACCATTTATAAGATTTGGAGAAATCCTAATCCACATTTGCTCCATGAGACCCACAAAAAAGTTGATTAAACAATTTTTTTGTTTTTCTTTAATTTACCTAGTTTAAAAAACTGACCAACAGATTTATGAGAAAATTACAGTATCTTATTAAGAATTAAAAGACCTTTAAAACGATATCACTTAAACCCCCGTGCAATTTAAGATTTTGGGGGCGGGTGGGGTAGAGCGCGTAGGGGTGCGGGTGGGGTCGTACAATAAAATGTCTCCCTTTACAAATAAAAATTGACGTGCCACATTCACCCTTTAAAACGTTTGGGAGGATACGTTTTCGTTCGTTCGGACCGGTCCATGGACCGTGGACCGGACCGTTTTTGGCGGTCCACACTGTCAATGTTCCAAAACGGACCGGTTCAGTCGAACCTATTTTTGCTGGACCGGTCCAACACAAACGGTCCACAAACGGTCCGGTTACATGGACCTTTTTTGGAACTGAACCGCTGGCGAACCGGTCCATGGACCGGAATTTTGTTACGGTTCACAACCCTGATTAGGATATAACTTTGGGCATATAGAGAAGTGTCAGAAGTTTTGACTCAGCTGAGTTTAATATTTTATTTATTTCATACTGTACTTTAATGTGCCATTTCCCGGACTCATTTGAGTCCGGGAAATGATACATTACATCACTAGGCCGGTAAAGTAACTTTACCGGACTCGTATATTTTAACTAACACATGGTTATTTCTGAACGATTATAAGTTTTTGCGCCATTTACAGAATATCTCGTATTCCTTTTGATATCGTCCGGAAGACTTGACCGGGATAAGTTTCGCCGTCGCTTCAGAACTTTTTTTCAAAATCTCTGCATCCATTTTATTCGAAATTATTCAAAACCACAGATTCAAAACGATGCTGAACTGACAGACAAGACAATAAATAAAAAAAACTCTTTGTTACTGTTAGCAACCGATTTAAAGCATACTACATTATCACCCTATATTACTGGTGCCACATTTTATAGTTTGTTTAGACCACAGACCTTGTTTGTAGGTCTGTGGTTTAGACAATACTGATACCATCATGTACTGACACATTACTGACACCTTCACCTGAATATACAGTTCAATTTTTGTACCAAAAATTTGAAAAAAATATTGAATAGTATGAAATAAAACATTGTACGATACACGGCCGAGAAATGTCATTAAAGTACTTGTCTAGAAATTCCAGACTCGGCTCCTTCGTCGCCTCGTCCGTAAACATCTGGACTCGTACTTTAATAAGCCATTTCCCGGCCTTGTAACGTAAATTACTATTCCACCCATAGATAACAAAGCCAAAGTAAATGACATTTTATAGGTTAATTTTGTTGTTTTTGTATCCATGTAAATGATACATTATGGAAACAGACCTGTAATATTTTACGGGCTTGTATAAAGGACCTGTAAAGTTTTACAGGCTTGTAGAAAAGCAATTTATGTAATGAAATGTCACATTTGACATATTAATTAATATTTTAAATTTGAAAATCGTTATCTAAAGGTGAAAATAAAAGTTTGTACGTGTCACGCTTTGCAATTAATCTTAACTATAGTCTATAGACTCACTAGATTATGGTGTTCGCTCCTGCGTCGCTCACCCCACAAACTTCCAGCTCGCCCGTAAAGATTCATTTACAAAGCTTGACACGTAAATAACTATAATAGGGTTTATTTTATTTACAATTCACACTTTATTATTAATATTATTATTTATTATTATTGTTATTATGTTTGGTTTCTGCTTAATAATTTGTACAATCTCAAAGTTGTCATACTTTGAATATCTTTGTACTTTTAATTCTTGATAAGAAAGAGGTTCAATATTATAAAAAGTTCTTGTATTTTTAATTGTAGTTAAATTCATAAACCTTGTGGATAAATTTGACTCAGCAGCTTCAACATCTGCATTTGAAACAGAAGAATTTAATCCCAGGAATTTGTTCTACACAAAAATTGAACATTGCTTGAGGGGCTAAGATTTGATTGGACACTGTTCTTTTTATTCTAGCTTTTCTAACAATTCTCTTTTTTGTCCCCCCTGCGCCATCACATGGGAAGTAGCGAAAAAGTTCCATACTGCTTTCAATTCGAAATCATCCTTATGATAAGATAAGTTAACAAAATTCTTTTTATTTTTGTATTGTGAAGCTGCTCCATCACTAAAGTAGTGTATTTTTTTATTTCGGGGTACTCTTCTTTAAGGAATTTAAGACAAACTTTTTGAAATGCATAAAAAGACACAGTGCTGTGTATAATACTTTCACTGATTACACAAAATGTTTTACAATGAATTACATAATTTATTTTTAAATAAATTACAAAAGGGTGTAACGTTGTTTGGTAAATGACCATATATATTATGTAATAGAATTTAGAAACAACACTTCTTCTTCTTCTATACTTTTTTATTCTCTCTTTCGAGAGAATTGGACTTGAGCCGATTAGGCTCTTACTGCCCAGTTACTAGTTTTAACGTCCAATGATTTCCGAAGAACCAAAGACCATTGGACAACGGTTTTCTAACGAACACGTGGACACAAATAGGTTATATAACCTTGAAATTTATATGTTCATATAAATTCCTCTATTCCTTTAAAAAAGGACAAAACGAGGAATATTATCTAGGACTGGAATCCGATTTTGTCCTCCCTGAGTCAAAGTCAACTATATTTCACACTTTTCATGGAGCAATGCACGAGCGATGCGCTTCTCACCGAGGATAAAATCGAACTCCTAGAAACAACACACAAATGACTTCAAAAAACAAACCAGCTTCTCTAGGGAATTTAAAGTTACCAATTTTTCCCCCAGGCTTGCATGCAAAAATCGAGCAGGAGCGAACGAAACGTCGCTATGCGCATGTCTTTGTGCAAGATTATTGCGTATTGCACGTAGAATTGCAGACTGTAATACGGGCTTAACTTAGAATACAGTGGCTAGCAAGTTAAATGTACTATCTATTCCTGCACTTTTTTGCAAGGGCTTCGCTAGCCAATGGGCCAGGGGGGCAAGTAGTTAGAGGATATGAATTGTAGTTAAAATAAATACAATTTGTGAAGTATAATGTATAGCACCGACGTCCAATGAAGGTAGAGGAGCACCAATAGATGTACCTTTAAATATATGGACCGACTCGCAATTAAATTCTGAACAATTTTTTTTCTGTAAATTGCTTTTGTGACCAGGGGCAGGGGGGTAATTAAGTATGTTAGACTTTTTGAATAAAATTCCGTGGAGGTGCCACGTTTTGTGATGACCAGAGAAAGGGGATCGAAAAAGTTTAAAAATCGCCTGACGTTATATGTAAACAACATCTTTTCTCGAATTCCGCTAATTACCCGATAACGGTAAAAACTAAATTTGATCCTAAAAAAAATGCTTTTTTAGGGCCTTATTTCCCTGTGGTGACAATATGGTTTGCATTATTGATGATAGAGAAGATGTTTGGTCACATGCCTTAAATTTAATACATGTTAAGCCTTATCACTTTTTCCAACATACAGGAGATATTAATGCACCACCTGGATTGGATAAGCATGAAAGCGATAATAAGGAAGGTGTAGATCTAAGTAAAATTAAAGAAAAAAGTGAAAAAATTAATAATGACAAAACACCAGAAAAAGAGGAAAAGGTGATAAATGGTAATATTGAAGCAAAGGGAGAAGAAAACGGTATGGAAGTCACCACAGAATCACCAAAAAATGGTACTACCATGGAAGATAATAATGATAATATTGAAAAAAATAATGAACTAGATAAAGACAAAGATAAAAGTAATAAAAGCAATATTGAAAATGATTCTAAAAAAGAAGAAAGTACTGAAAACAAAGAGAAAAATGATCAAAAGGAAGACACAAATAATGAAAAGAAAGTTGAAAATGGTAAAAACAAAAGTGCACATGAAGAAAACACAGATAAAGATAAACCCAAAACTGAAAATTCCGAAAAACCTGTAGAGCAAACAAAAAAGGAAAGCAAAGAAGATGACTTAATAGAAATAGATGACCCTGATGACTACCTAATCTACTTGGAGGAAGTTTTAAAAAGAATACATAAAGCATTTTACGACGAATTCGATAAACTGGAGTCTGGTGATGTCCCAGACCTGAAAAAAGTCATACCATCAGTCAGAAATAAAGTGCTTGAAGGCAAAAAGTTGGTATTTAGCGGTTTAGTGCCTACACACATTAAATTGGAACAATCCAAAGCTTATCAGGTGGCCAAGAGCCTGGGAGCCGAAGTTAGTCAGGATTTAGATGATGACACCACACATATGGTAGCAGTGAGACCAGGAACAGCTAAAGTAAGTGGTTTATTAATTAATTAAATTAAAAAGGTAAACAGAAATATTTTGTTGTTGAGGTGCAAATAGGTATATCTATAGATATATATATATATATAGATATATATATATATATATATATATATATATATATAGATATATATATATATATATATATATTATATTGTGACAAATTTTGAGGGTGGACTTTTTAACTCAACTAACAAAGGTTTTAAAAAGGGTGTTAATAGATGTCCTTTTAATTATCCTTTATCATAATTATAATACTGCACCATTTTATTTTAATTAAATTAATGTAGATATCCCCTTATCATAAGATAAAAAGATTGCCTAACATTTTATTTCAATTGGCACTTAAGTGCTAATCAAGTAGGTATTATCATAAAATATTTATTTTCAGGTAAATGCAGGAAAGCGACGAAAAAATCTAAAAATTGTCACGCCAGATTGGTTGTGGTGTTGTGCCGAAAGATGGGAACACGCAGATGAAAGAGTTTTTCCCTTGAACAGTAAGGGTTCAAAAAACCGGCATCCACCGCCCCATTGCAGCAGTCCGGAGCATATTACAAACTATCCTGTACACGACGCGCCAGGCGCTAGAAAAAGAACCGCTAGCGGAAGGTTCATGGACTCCATTAATCCTCTGATGACGTTTTCGCAGGACGATATAGCGGATATGGGAAAAGAGGCAAGTGCAAAATATATATTTTGTATGTGGGAATTCCACGCCAAATCCACCACTTTTCTCAACATCTTTTCAATTATTTTTACGGTAACTTTTACCCAACCAAAAAAAGTTAAGAATAAAAAAGAATGGTTCTTTTTCTGCAAATACTCATAACCCCTTTAAAAATTTAACAAATGGGACGTTTTCACCGTTTTTTATTTTTTCATAAAAAGCTTTGTTTTATTCTACGAATAATGCTGCTGTTTTCTATTTTTTTTTCATGGCAAATAATTTTTTTTTATTTTTTTCCCAATCGTATTTGATTTCTTGTAAAAACTTTTGTAATAAAATTAATTTAAGTAAATGGTTCTATGATATTTTACACTTAATTTATAATCTAACCTAATGATTAAGATTTTATGGTTAACACAATTAACAATAATTAATTATTTTTTATACCAAGGTAATAACAAAATATCCTATAAACTATCCTATAAGACACTAGTGTTTTATGACAATTAATAAAACATAATATGTCAGAACTCACTTGTATTTATTTATTTATATTTTATTTGCTAATTACAATAAATTTTCTATTGCGTTTAAATAATTTACATACCTATTTTATACTCATTTGAATTCAAAAAAGACAACCATCTGTGTAATTCTTATCATTAATCATTAGGTTAGATTATAAATATATACAGGGTGTTCCGAAATTAGTGCACCATACTTTAACAGCAGATTCTACGTGCAAAAATAAGAAAAAAGTACCTATAAATATAGGTCGAGAAATGCCTCCTAAGGGAGCTATAGCTCCCGAAAAGGGAGCCCCTGAAGATGGTTTTTATCTAATATAAATAAAAAAGTAGAAACACCCTGTCACTTACTACATGAAACTGTCACCTGTCTTGAATTATTCTATTTTTTCCTAAACATGGCAGCCGTATTCCAAGGACCACGCGAGTCCATTTCCATGGTTGTGATTTAATTGTGAATTTTTATGCCATGTAAAATAATTTTCAAATCGATTTTATGCGAAAACGGTGTATGTTCAACAGGATGACCTTTTTTATGTGCAAAACTCTATTATTTCATAATCTGACACCAAATTTTGGTACAAGATACGTACAAAAAAGTTAAGGTGGTTTTAACCCTACTTCCTATCAATCTGACCCGAACCTCATAAAAAATTTTAAATTGTTATTGTTACGTCTTATTGGTCATAAAAAGTTTAATTAAGTCCCCAAATTTCACTTCTATATCTTTAACGGCTTTGGAGATATTAAATAAAAACCATCTTCAGGGGCTTTCCTTTTGGGGGCTGTAGCTACCTTAAGAGGCATTTCTTGACCTATGGGACTTTTTTTCTTATTTTTGCACGTACAATCTGCTGTTAAAGTATGGTGCACTAATTTCAGGACACCCTGTATATTATGTATAAAATATCATAGAACAATACATATACTTAAATTGACTTATAATATAGAAATAAAAAAGTTTTTCAATAAAAAAATTGAAAAATGTCCGCCCAGAGAGAGCGGCATTAAAAGCAGAATAAATAGAAGTTTTTTTATAAAACAAAAATAAAAAAAGGCAAATTTTAAAAATTAATATTTTTTTATAAAAAAATTGAATTTTTTTATAGAACTTAACAAATTTTGGTTGTATTTTTTTTCTTCTGAAAAGTACATGTATAAATGGACACCCCTATAAAATCTTTATTTGAAGAGGTATTAAAAAATTAAAAAAATCCAGCTTGCATGGTTTAAAAAACTAAGTTTTTGACAAAAATTAAGAAATAGAAAAGCATTTTTCAATGAAACACTGTATAATTTTAAATATTTAGGCCCGGTTTTTCAATATTGCATTTAATCAGCACTTTCGTAAGTTACAGTTATATTTAACTAGCGGCAAATTGTTAGTTAAATTGTAATCTGATTTTTCACTCATTTTGAAGTATTAGTTACAGAATCACAACCCTAGACCACACCAATAGATACGTAACTACCTGAAAACGTTTTGATGCAATAAAGCGCCATCTATTAAAATTGAAGAAATTAAAATGCAACGTTGCCAAAATCGCCCGCCAATATTTAAAAATATATATTTTTTGTAATTGGCAGAGTACAGTGCAAGAACTAGATAACTCAATTTCCACTAAAATGTTTTACATTTTAAAATAGTTAACTGGTTCTTGCACTGAACAAGGCTTTACATTGTTTTTTTTTCCAAATTGTAAAATGGCTCTTAAAATACATTTATATTTAAATATAATCATTGTTAGGTCATAAATGAAATAATTAAAATATTTTAACATATATTTTTCAATATAAATATTACATAAACAGTAAAATACTATCTTAGGCCATACAAATAATAAACATAAAATAAATAATTCAGGAGTGAGTGGTCAAAAACAAATTTATCCATTCGATCAAATTTTCAGGGGAGCGTAAAAACATAAAAATACATTAAATTGTTGTTATATAAGACATCCTGTTAGTTTTTCTAACATGCCTATAGGCAGTAAGCCACTGTATTCAGAAACCTTTTAGAATTTGTAGAATTGAATTTAGAGAACAAACATGTTTGGTTATGACCAAATTTCATTTAAGATGATTATTTTTAAGTCCCATTTAAAATAATGGTCTTTGACCACTTTTAAAGTGGTTATATGTATGTGTGAATGATCCTCCTCTACAATGATCACTACTTAAGTAGTAATAATTATTTGCCAGAAGTGGACAAATTTGGTTTTGATTAAAAGCTTCTCAATTAAACCGTACAAAACATAATTATATAATAAAATCCTATTTTGATTTACATAAATATTGAACATAAAAAACATAAGAATTAAATGAAAAAGTAGATGCGTTTCACTATATATACATTAAAATAACTTGCATTGGTCAAAATTGATTAACTTGAAAATATTTTTAAAGCCAGTTTCCTGTCTGTCATGAGAATTTTATATTATTAATTTGTTTAATAAAATTAAACAAATATACTTTAAATTTTTTAGTATTGTATTCTCTTTTTAAAATGTTTTTTTAAAGCCAGTGCCCTGGCTTTATTAAAGAGCTCTGGAGCTTTTTTATTTAACTTTCTACTGTCTTTTGAATTTAAAATATTATTTATTTGTTTTATAAAATTAAACTTTGGTATTTAGTTCTGACAGACAAAAGCAGGCAATAAAAATAATAATATTAACTTATATTTAAAAATATATAGATTTTCATGCAGAAAACACCACTGCAAAATTACATACTAATTTTAATGAAACCAAGCTATACCTGGTAATAATAATGTTGGGTAAGCCAGACGACCAAGTCTTTTATTACGTAAAAGTCCTCCTGAATAAAATGCTTTGAACACACTCTGCAGTTTGTAAAAATTTGGTGTCATCTCAAGAAGTCTTTTATTGGCACATAACTTAACCCATTTATTAAACAAGTCGATGTTCTTTGAAGGATTTGGAAAGGAATGTTTAGATTCCTTAGATCCCCAACAACTTTCAACAGCACAATATATAGCAACCATCTGTAATAACAAAGTTTTAAAACAAGAATTAAACAAGAATAAAAAACATACTTACCTTTCAAGATGTAAAAAATAAAATAAAATATAAAAATAATATAAAAATATAATAATATTGAAATTAAGCACTAATTTAACACACGTTCAAGTTTATTAAACCAACTTATATTTAAGACACTTGTTTGACAGACATTAAAAACAGAGCATATATGATTAATATAATATTTTAAAGATGAGTGACAGCTGTTTATGAATTAATTAAAAAGGTTAAAGCTGTTTATTAGTTGCGGGGTTGCTACATCGTCATTGACCACAGCGCCGTCTAAAATGAAGAAACTATATTATGATACAAGGCCATCCATTAGAGTAGATCATAGATAACAAAGCCTTTGGAGTAGATTATCTATTGGTGTGGTCTAGGATCACAACTTTTGACATATTTTTGTCAGGTTGATATAGAATTTTACCGGAAATCGTCAAATATAACCTTATTTGCGGTGTTCAATGTATGTTTTTTCCTAATAAAAATTATTTTTTAAACATAATAATTTTAGAGAAAATAGAAGTAATAGATATTGGACAGTAGTTTCCTGGATTTTCTTTACTACCTTTTTTGTATATAGGCTAGATATTTTACATTTTTCAGGAAAATTTACAGTCTTAAAGCAGTTATTTATATATCTGAGTATGGTTTCTTTTATGTTAGGATAAATCTCTTTAATATCTTTATTAGTAATATTATCATTACCTAAGTTACTAGAGTTCAAAGATGTAATAACTTTTCCTAATTCACTCATTGTACAAGGAAACATAAAAATAGTTTTATTATTTGTAACTTCTTGAAATGTTATATCAGGTCAGAGCTGGGCAAAGCACTCAAAAAAAGTACTTCGAGCACCAAGCACCAAGCCCTTTGGAAAAGTAATTGCCAGCACCAAGCATCAAGCACTTTGAAAACTTTAAGTGCTTGCAATTACCAATTACCGAGAAAAGTAATTGAAAAATTCAATTACCAAGCACCAATTACTCAAAAAGTGTGTGCAAGCACTTTTTTCTTAAATAAATTACCAATTACCAAGCACTTTTTAGTTTTCCAATTGCTTCCTACCCAATTAATTAACATCTTTATTTTAAAAATAAGAAACATTTTTGGATGATCGTTATATTAAAATAACCAAACCAAGTTTTTTGTTTTTAATTTATTAGTCTACACAACATGACGCAAAACAATTAAAGTGAAGAAATCATCAAAAAATAAGTACAAATTATCTGCAAGAAGGAGAAAGGTACTGGCCAAGTCGGCCTTCAACCAACCAATCACATTAAAGCTTATGCTGCACCGCACACCGCATTAGATGATGATGATGTTACTAAGGGCATTTCCCTCTAGAGTCTAAAGTGCTCGGGAACACTTTAAATGCTTGCAAGCCCTCAAATCTGATAGTGCTTGCAAGCCCTTTAGTGCTTGCAAGCCCTTTAAA